GTTTCACCATGTTGACCAGGATGGTCTCGATCTCTTGACCTTGTGATCCACCCGCCTCGGCCTCCCAAAGTGCTGGGATTACAGGCTTGAGCCACCGCGCCTGGCCTTCTTTATCTTTTTTTAAAAAAACAATTTTGTTTTGTTTTTTGTAAACGAAACGCCCAGGCTGGAGTGCAGTGGTGCCATCTCAGCTCACTGGACCCTCTGCCTCCGCCTCCGGGGGTCAAGCAGTTCTCTGCCTCTGTCTCCTGAGTAGCTGGGACTACAGGCACCCACCACCACAGCAGGCTAACTTTTGTATTTTTAGTAGAGATGGGGTTTCACCATCTTGGCCAGGCTGGTCTTGAACTCCTGACCTCGTGAGCCACCATGCCTGGTTTTTTTTTTTTTTTTTTTTTTTTAAGACAAAGGCTTCCGCTATCAGTAGTGTAAGGCTGGAGTGCGGCAGTGCTATTACTGGGCTCAAGCGATTCTCCCATATCAGCTTCCCAAGTAGCTGGGACTACATGCGTGCACCAACACTCCCAGCTAATTTTTGTATTTTTAGTAGAGATGAGATCTCACGGTGTTGCTCAGACTGGTCTCAAACTCCTGGCCTCAAGTGATCCACCCGCCTCAGCTTCCCGAAGTGCCGTGGTTATAGGTGTGAGCACTGTGCCTGGCCAGTTTTTCCTTTGAAGCTACGTGATGTTTGGGATGACTGTTTCTCTGCAGTGTGAGGTAGCAGTCCCATTTTCCCTGTTTCCCCATACAGACGTCCTGTGGGCCGTGTTAGGCACTGCGGCCCCTCTGACTGCTGTTTCGGGCGTTTCTCCTCCTTGGCTGTCAGGATTGATGCTGCCGGCTGTGGCCTTGGACACATGGGTCCAGAGGCACCTGGTTTTTCCCCCTTGCCCGGGAGGAGTGGGCTGGAGCCTCTTGAAGAGGGCGAGGCTTGCATTGGGGAAGTGAGGCCTTCCCTTAGCTGCTCTGTGGCATCTGGGGAATCAGGCGGGCTGGGAACAGACGTGTGAGTGTCTTTATTCTTTGTATGAGTGTTGGCGGGCATGGCCCAGACTGCCAACCCCAAAGAGGGTGGCGATACCTTCGTGAGCTGTGTATGGAGCCTGTGAGCTGCTGAGGGTCCCTGGCCAGCTTGCCTCTGGGACAGCCTGTCGCTCATGTCTGGTGACTGTGCAAATGGTGGCAGACCCCAGGGGAGAACTGAGCGTGTTGGAAGAGGCTTGTGTGACTCTTTCGGGGAGGGCCTGAGGAGTCCCCAGGCCCCCCCTGAGCTGCACCTTCCCTGTGCTGTCTGTGCTTCATAACTGCGGGGCCCCATGCAGTCTGCACAGCACATGCCTTGCAGCAACCCTGAGGACAGGCAGGTCCAGGCCCAGGCCCCATTTCACAGTAAGGCTCAGAGAGGCCTCCTCCCCTTCCTGCCTCATGTGGGTGGCTCTGGATTAGCTTTGCAGCCTGGGCTGCCGCAGGTGACCTGGGAGCCTGAGCATCTCTTCACGTTCTTGCCGGGTCTTCCTCCAGCGAGGTGCCTGTCCAGGTCTGGTGACCATTTCCCACTGTGCCTTTTCTGGTTGACCTGTCAGAGTTCTTTATGTGATGTGAATAAAGCTCTAGTTAAACGTGTTGCAAATAGCTTTTTCAGTCTGTGATGGTCTGTGATTATCTTTTGACTTTTACAAATTGTTTTTGAAGAACAGAGGTTCTTGATTTTATGAGGTTCAGTTTGCCAGTCTCTTCCTTTATGGGTTCTGTTTTTTGTTTTGTTTTGTTTTGTTTTTTTTTGAGATGGAGTCTCGCTCTGTAGTCCAGACTGGAGTGCAGTGGTGTGTCTCGGCTCACTGCAACCTCCGCCTCCCAGGTCCCGGTTCAAGCAGTTCTCCTGCCTCAGCCTCCCAAGTAGCTGGGATTACAGGCATGAGCCACCATGCCCAGCTA